TCTTTAGCTGTCGTCTTGTTCAAACTACATGTCAAAAGTTTTTTTTCTTTTTTTTTCCGAATCATTTACACTTCAGAGCACTACTCCTAAATACTAAAAATGCTTTCCAGTTGTGTTGCCTTTACCGTGCTGAAAATAACATGAACCACAGTAGTTTTCCTTTGCTCGCATTCAAATTCTATTTACGCAATATTTTGACATTTAGAACTGAAGCAAATTGGATTCAACCTTTCATGGAAAGTCACTCAATAATAATTGCTGTGTCAACTTGATTCATTTGTTGCCACTTGTGCGTGAAAGACCCACTTGAACTCGAGAATTCGTCTGAAAAAACAACTCGAAAACCGTGATTTAATTTCACAGTTTAGATACGAACTGCTTAAAATTACAGGGAGTTTTTTTTTTTACGTCATTTGACTAATAACCAAGCTTAGCTTTGTTTCCGTTGTTGTGATGAAAACCGGAACTGGGCCAATCAGGGCGCGAGAGTGAAATAATTTTGTTTTTCTTTGTAATTTCTTGTGCGGTCTCCATAATTCTATAAGTAATTATCCACAACTTCCGGAATTTTAACAACGTCCTTTGTTTTCAAGTCTTTCTTTTGACCGAATGGGTGTCTAATTCTCAGCATTGCGGTAATCATGTTAAAACAAGGGTAAACTTTCCACGGAAACCCAAGAAATCCAGCTTAAAGCGTCCCACTGCACTCAAAAAGGAACCGGCAACTGAGAATTGTGCCGCACTGCTGCCGGCACTGAGAATTGTGTGCAAAGCCTTTTAACTGCATGTAATATGTACTCTAAAATTGAATGACGGCGCCAAAGGTCTGAATCCACATAACACATATTAAAAATTTCCATTACTAATACCTCTGTGTGGATAAAGATTAAGTTTGCTTGCACATGAATGCAATTTAAATGCGTCGGTTTTATTACCTTGAAAACAGCGCGCAGTTAATAATCAGTTGCCCCCGTGTTGGAGGTCGAGAAACAGCCATTGGGTAAACGGATCTAGATCTGCCACCGTCAACGAGGTTAAATTTAGGTAAGGCTTTCCGGAGGACTTTACACAGGTGGTCGAGTGCTTGAAAACGTGACACGGTTTGAAATGGTATAACTGTTAGTTAATCAGATTTTGTGATAACCGAGTGTAGGATGGGAGAATAATAATGCACAATAACATTCCTAACAAAAGAAAAACGTGGTGGCCTATTTTCCATTTTGGGAACTTAAAAACCAAACGTTGATACACAATATTGTACTGAAAAGTAAAGTATTAGGCACAGCTTTAAAAGCTATGTCTTCTTTAGCACCCAAAGCCTGATATATCGGCTGCCAAAGATTAATGGCCCAAGATCTTTTGAAGTTAAACAAAGCGAAATTTATCACTGATCAGTTTGGCTTTCATTGTTTCGTTCTGCAGAGTTTTTACTAAAGTAACCTTAACGCAAATTCGTAAAAATTGAAATTACTTTTCTTTTAGTCACAGACTCTCGTTTTCCCATGAAAACGCATTTGAATTTTCTCTAAATAGCGTGCTTTACAATTGTAAACGTATTTAAGTGCGATTAGCAAACGCTCTCACGACATGACCTCGAGATAATTATAATCAGTAGTTTAGGTCTTTTGAAGTGGCAAGATCTAAACAGCTGATTTCTGCTAACCATTCTGTCAAGACGAAACTGTAAGATAACGCTGAAAAATGAACGACTCTAAACTATATTCCTCGTAGTTTAGTTAATAACTTCTGGACTAAGACTCAGTCATCTTTAAGAAAATCTACAACCAAACAACAATTGTTGACGATAAGCAATCGTTTGGCAATGTTATGTCACTACAATAATACAGCGATCAGGGCGGAATCTTATAGTAATATCGTCGGTAGTTTTGAAGCAATTTTACAGAACGTCGCAATGTTTGTTACGAGTTCGAATACTTGTCACTTCTGTTAAAATCAAACTTGTTTTTCAATCAGAGCCCCTGGATTTTGTTACTTAAAAAATTCGCCAGGTTTCTTGGCCGTGTGCGGCCAGAAGCACACGAGAATATTAAACGATTCTGGAATGTTTGACTCGAAGGAATTACCTTGAAGAAAAACCGACCTTCAGCTGGAAGGATGAATGCCAAATGACGTCACGAACTAACGGAACAGCCGAGGAAATGTAAACTGATTGATCAGTAATTTGTCAAGGAATTCTGTATGCCTCAACAACGATAAGGAAACGGATGCGAGCTATTAAACAGTGATACGGGGGTTAATCAAAGAGAAAATTTGTTATGTACTTCTTGTTATATACTTCGTCCACTTCGTGAAAGCGCCGTTTTCAAAATGTGTAAGCCATTTAATTTAGTTTACATTGATATTTTCTTTTTGTGAGTGATTGGTTATAAAGTAGTTTTTAATTATTGTTGAACACTTTCGGCGGAGCAACAATATAATTCGGTATCTCTAGTAACGGTGATCGTTTATCTAATTACTGCGGTCTTATTCATAAATTTCCTCTGTGTATTATAGACATTATACGCTTATACCGCTAATTTAATAATTCTAATCTGAGTGAGGCCAATTCCATTCACAAACTTCAATTTGGGTATCTGCCATAGAATCCGGGCTTGCTAACCAATCCAGTCTGTTAAACAACCTGTAGATCGACAATTACCTACAGTTGGCGCAGTTTGTTTCAGGAAAAAATCATTCGACACTCGTCTCAACTGCTCCACGCTTCAAAACAACGTTTGTGGACGCGTTTTCATTTACGGAGGAAAATATTCACGGGGTCATCGGCGGTTAGACACTGATTTCCATCTCAGTTACGGAAAATCTCTTGACCTGAAATGTGTCTACTAATTGGAAACGTGTTCACACGGTTGTTAAGTTCTCACACGGCGGGTCCTGCGTAGAAATAAACACTTCATCCCAGAGACATCAAAAGATCTTTGTGATCGAGTTTCAAAACAACACCGTAATCTGCTTTACACAAATGCCTCTGTTGCTCCTTTACAATCCCATGATTCCTCCAACAAACCTGGATACAAGTCAAATAGTTGCAGTGGATATGTTATTCATAAAACGCTCCCTGAAAGATACACATTACTCTCAACTTGGAAATAACAAGATCTTGAATTATGACTGAGAAATAAGCCCTCACGTTTCATTAGGTATGGCAACAAGAGGAGACTGTGTAAATTTTTATTTTTATTTTGAATTTTAAAATGAATATTTTTTTCCACGCGTGGTTCATTTACTTGCTTGCCGACGAAGCTCACGAGTTTCCTTAGAGGCTGAGTCCTGTTTCCGCTTTTGTGTTTCAGATCGATTTGCGAGGTAAGCCTAGCAGATTCCCTCCGAGAACATCGTTGTTTCAAAGATATGGACGAGGAAGAACGACTTGACCGGCCCTGGAATGCGTGGATTGCAGTTAGAAAAGAATCACTGCAGCCTATGAACCAAGAATCTGCGCCGGACCCGAACAATCCGCGGAGAATGTCATTTCAACAATGGATATCCGAAAAAGAGCTTAATCACTTGAGGAACCTCTTCGCAAACGCGCAGGAGGAAGCGAAGACGAACGAAAAACAAGCTAAGCTACTCAAGGGGAAATCGTTCGAGGAGTGGATGGAGGATAAGCAGAGAGAACTCGAAAGGGAGAAAGAAAGGGAAAAAGATATAGAAAGCCAACAAAAACTCGAGCAAGACAAGAAATACCACCGAAGGAGGATGTCTCAGGCCGAGTACAGCAAATGGCTGATGCAGAAAGAGAGGGACGCCTTGCTAATGGAAGAGAAGAAGGAACAGCTGGCGAAACAGCAACACGAACTTATGAAAAAGAAGTGGGAGGAACAAGATGAGCTGAAGAAAAACTGTAAACAGACGGTGGGCCGAACGCAGAGCTTGCCTGTGGAAGAACGAGCAGTGCCGCGCCCAGGATTAAATAAACATAGATTTAAAACTGTAAAGTAAGTTTTGCTGTTGGTGTAGGTAGGTGCATGCCTTTTAGTAAGTAGTGTAAAACAGTGGTTTTCTGATGCTTTTCTGTATTTCCAACAGTTCGTGCTTCTGCAGCCTAGTTCTCTGACTGGTCCAAAACTCTCGTGCAGTGTTCTTTTACCAATCAGAGCAGAGAAGTAATAGTATTTGCCAATTAGATTCAGTTAGAGCACAACTTAACCACGTGCACGTGATTTTTCCCGCGCTTGCAACTGCGGGTGTCATGTGTGTCTCCTTGGCGTTTTGATTGGTTTAGCTTTGCGATTTTAAGGCTTCGTCTTCGTTTCAAATAATGCTAGTACGTTTAGGTGATGTCGCAGGCATCGCGAATGTGAAAATCTATACTAAAAGTAAATTGAAA